ATACACAGTGACTGCTTAGGGCCCAGGATTTCCTTGTGAAGAAAATGTTCTAAAATCAATTTACTGATAACTGCACAACTCTGCAAATACTAGACTAGTGAATTATATATTTTATTTATTTATTTTTAGTTTTTGTTTGTTTGTTTTTATTTTTTCCGGTACCGGGAATTGAACTCACAACCTCATGCTTGCTAGGCAGGCACTGTGCCACTGAGCTAAATCCCCAGCCCCCTTATTTTTAGTTTTTTGAGACAGGTTTCTTGCTATTTAGTTTAGGCTGGCCCTGACCTTACTATGTAGTCAGGCTGGCCTTGAACTCATGGTGATCCTCCTGCCTCAGCCTCCGGAGTGCTGCAATTACAGATGTGCACCACCAAGCCCGGCCCTGAACTGTATATTTTAAATAGGTGAATTGCATGGCATAAGAATTATATTGCAATAAAGCTGTTATAAAAATATATAAGTTTCGGTTTTGATCCTTCCAGAGCCCTAAATTCATATATGTATATGAAGCTCATCGTGAGCCTCCAGTAAGTCACAGCTCTAGTTAAAAAAAAAAAAAAAAAAAAAAAAAAAGAGTGAGACTCAGGGAAGACATAGCAGTGAACTATTTTAGCCTTTTAAAATGTTAGGTTTCAGACCTCCCCAGGTGTTGAGAGAGTCTCCCTCTCTGATCAAAACAAGCACCCCTCCCCCAAAAAAACAAACACAAAAAACAAAAACAAGGCCTAAAGAAGATGAAAAAAGGCACACATCCTGAGGAACAGCAACACTTATTAATTAAATCATCTTATCAGAGAGCACAGGGCAGCAGAGCACACCAGCTACCTTGGCTATGAGATCAGAAAAAGAAAGAGGAGGGAAAGGGCCCAGCAAAGGATGCCAAAATCTGAACCCTGATGGGTGCCCCCTGTAAGAGCAGTCCCCTGTGAGTTAGGACTCGAAGAGGTCACTCAGAGCTTTGTGCAGTCCACTCATAGGCCCTGTCTCACCCTTAGGTGCCTCCACTGGCAGAGGGACCTGGATCACCAAAGAAAGAGGAAAGGAGTCTATAAGAATAAACAAATGTCCACATAATGAGAAGGCGCAAACCTTGACTGAGCCAGAGTTCCCGGATGTGTCCTCCATCCCTTAGCCAGAGCAGGGTAAAACAGTTTCAGCCAAGCCAGTAGCAAATAGAAAGGACAGCTAAGCACGCCAGGCACCGTGCTTGATGCTTCCTGTGTATTATCTTACTTAATCCCCACAACAGCCTGATGAGAAGGATGCAATTGGCATCCCTGTTCTACAGATGAGGAAAGTTGAGAATGGACAAATTAATTTACCAAAGTAATTTCGGGCAAAACAAATGTTGGAGCTACTGCTCACTTTACTTAGATTCCAATCATGCTCTTAGGCACAAGGCTATTAACAGAAATCACAGTTTAGCTAAAGACTGTCATAATTATATCAGGATCACAGGAAATGTGCTTGTAAGGAGTAGGAGGATACATTTCCCCATAACTCCTATAACAGAATTTAATAGCTATCTAATACCAATAAATCAAGAAATACTACTATAAGCAAATTATTCTGAAACATGAAATTAAACACCAGATAAAGCAACTAAAATGAGGAAAATGGCCACTTCCATGAAGCAGAACTTGAAATAGAGGACTGCTATACTCTTTTAAAAGCCAATTGATATTATTAGATTTCTCCTCCTCCCCACACCCCTTACACAGGGAGATAAGCTCTCCTAAATTGCCCAGGCTGGGAGTCAAACTTGTAATACTCCTGCCTCAGCCTCCTGAGGAACTAGGATTACTGGAGTGTACCACCATGCCTAACATATTAGTTGTTTTTAAAACCATGCACATATATTATTTTGATTAAGGAAGGAGGGAAGGAAAGAGAGGTAGAAAATCAGAGATCTTCTAGGCCAATATCTAATGTCATAGACACCTATTCTTTGACCACATAGCTTTCACTGTCCTTCACTGGTAAAAACACTGGGGTTCTGCCTTAGAGTCTCCCTTCTTCACTGGGTGATCTTATGTGCCTATCCATAAAAGAACCCTGTCCTCCCGTGGCAAAGAAAGCGGAAGGAGGACAATGGTACTCCCTTCCTGGAATCTTGGGCAGAATGGCAAAAATGACTAAAACAGCTGGAATCAGTTCACCCAGAATTAGAAAGCCTCTGTTAGTTCCCTCCACCTAACCAGGCCCCAAGACTCCCTCAATCTGAACTGCTTAAGCTAGCTATAGTCACTTTCTGTTGTTTACTATGATCAAAGGCAGTTAATGGAAATATCTAATAAAAATGAGTTTGAGGCTTATTTGTACTGTTATGCGCTGATATAACTTACCAAAGTGGTTTGCCAACTTTTTGACCTTAAGTCTATCTCACATCACAGTCCATAAACAACACACATATATTATATGTATGCATCAAACAAAATTTCGCCAAAAACTCTATCCTAGCGGGGTATAATTCTTAACATATAATACTACCTACCGAAGAGTCCAACACAAGAGGATCAAAAGTTTGAGGCCAGTCTGGGCAACTAAGCAGGATCCTGTCTCAAACTGTTTTAAAATAAAAAATGAAAAGGGCTGGGCAGCCAAGTGTGGTAGCACACACCTGTAATCCCAGCATTTGGGAGGCCAAGGAAGGAGGTCACTGTTGAGTTTGAGGCCAGCCTAAACTACATAGCAAGATCCTGCCTCAAAAAAAAAAAAAAAAAAAAAAGCTGGGGCTATAGCTCAGTGGTAGAGCACTTACCTAGAACACCTTGAATTCAATCCCCAGCACAGGGGTGAGAGATGGGGGAGACTACCCTCACTAACATCCTGAGAGCAAGTTTTTCTACTTTTTTAGTGCTGGTTCTGCCCCACTACATTAGCATTGGGCCCACCAATGGCTATGGTCTGCAGTTTTGAAAAACTGGATCATTATATCTGCTGCATGTGTGCCCAATCATAAAAATAATCTAGTAGGTGTACTGGTCCTACTTCCATGTCCGTGTTTAGAGCAGTAACACACATTGCTTGGCTGGGGGAAAAACACCAAAAGTCCCAGGACTCTAGCCCCTCTAGAACACTCCAATCAACTGTCCACACTGGCAGCTCCAGAAAAAAACATCTCTTCCGTTCTTTATTCACTCCCACCTTGCACACACATTGAGCATTCATTCAATGGTATGAACACATGACAGGCTCCTTCGGATTGTCCAGCCATAAATTCTATCTGCAGGCTGGCTCAGAGGAGAGGAATCCAGGACAATGCATGTCTCCTGACTGATTGATTGTTTACCATCTCCTCCCCCTCTTAAAGAGCCCAGGAACATCTCCAAGATCAGACCAGAGCCATAGTTATTTCACTCCCAGCTTTTGAGTAAAATAAGTCTCAAGTTCAGCCTAGAAAGAAGGAGTAAAAGGGTATTTGTGTCTTGCTTGCTCCAGAGGTGTCTCTCTGGTTAGCTTCAAACATACCTGTGGCAGAGACTATGAATTCCTTGCTCACTGTTTTCCTACTTATTCCTTCTCTGTCACCAAACAGTAAAAACATCAAGGGATATTAGAGGACGTCAATTCATTCTCAGTGCTGCCAAGGTCATGGTCTTAGACTTCTGAAAAAGTCCAGACACCTCTCTCCTTTATTTATCTCACACTCCTTTTCTCTGTCTGAATCATTCCAAAATAACGAGAAGACGGAGTACGGCCTGGGCCCAACAAAAGACAGAGGATGGATTTTCTCCCTCTCTTCAGCACCCTATGGCTGGGGGAAAAGACTGGAGGTTGGGGAGCCAGGTTTAGGCAGTAGCGAGACTTGTATTGTAATGTGGCAAAAATAGCCAGGGGACTGTGAAAAGAAATGATCGTCTGTACTCTAAACTTCAAATGAGCACCTATTCTACAAATATTCTTTGAAGAAGAGCTATAATATAGCTACAGCGGAGTGAGCTCTACTTTAGGGGCAAGCTGAGACAGGCGCGGGCCGGGGAATCTGCTCGGGGTGGAGGTGGAGGGGGGGTGTCATAAACTCCCCATCATGTTGGCTTGCACTTCACTCTCTTGGAAATCGATAAAATAGTTCACAGCTATACTGGGTTACATTCCCCAGCAAGCCTAGAAAACCGCCACAAATTACACTCCTTTGTCTCTAGACAGGCGAAATCACACGGAGCCTGGGAGACAGGGACTAAGGACCACAGAACGAGGGAAGCAGGGCAGACAGGCTTCCCTGGGTTATGCCCCCTTTCTCCAACTCTCACCCGGCCCAGAAACCTGCAAGTTCTCAAACGCGTCGCTTCCCTCCCCTTTGGCCCAGGTTCTGCATCTCCTTCAGCCCTTGCTCCGAGTTTGGAGGCTGGAGACGAAGCAAAACTACCAAACCGCCCGGGAACAAGTGGAGGGGAGCAGAAGAACTGCAAGGGACAAGGAGCCGGGCCACCGGGTGGAAAGCTCGATTCCTCTTAGCAGAAGGCAGGGTCTCCGACGAACATGGGAGTGATCTGAGTCCTACCGTCTCCCACAGCCCTCTGGCCCTCTGTCCCAAGCCCTAGAAGTTTACTCTCTGCCCGTTTCTTGTTACTGACCAAAGCAACATAAAATTCTTTGAAGGGCCTCTGTGGTCACCAGAACCTACAGAAAAGCTTCATCCGGTCTGGTGGGACACAAGGTCCTACAGAGCGCAAGGACCCCAACCCTGGAGCGCGTTCTCTGACGACCCAAGCCCGCTGCCCCTGGGCGCCTGGGGACGCGCACGATCACACGCGGCCTCACGGCGTCCAGCCGCAGGCGGAAGCCGCGGGGTCCTCCCAAGGGGCGGGGGCGCCCCCAGCCCTCCATCCTGACCTTCCCACTGCGCGCCTCAGGGCAAAGAAAAACAAGAGAGTGAGAAGCACCAGGAAGGGATGACCGCGGGAATCCACAAGGTGATGTCAGCGAACTCGGCGCAGGGTGGAACTGGAACAGAGAACACCAAGCAGGGAAGGCCGTGTGAGCGCTTTTCTTACCGTGGTTTCGCCCTCCGGGTGTACGTCTACGACCGTACACCAGTTCCGCGTCCCGTTCATGTTCTTCCCGCTGGGATCCCAGCAGAGCCAACCCCTCCGCCCGGCAGCCCTGCTCCTACTAGCCGGGCGCGTGCGGAACCGCCCCTTGTATAGGCGCGTCAGGGGCGGGGCTGAATATAGGCCACGCCCGAGGACACTGTTCGCCAATGAGCGGGGGAAAGCGTAAGGTGGGCGGTGCCAGACGACTTCAGGACAGTCCCATCTGCGCTGGCTTAGATTTACATAAAGATGGGACTTTGCGGTGACCCAGAGCTGCTTGGCAGTTTTGTCTAGAGTATGTGGTTGTACCTCAGTATTCACTAGCCTTGTCTTAACTCCAAGATCAGGTTCAGTCAGAAGTAATCATCTTGCCTGCTTCTCTACAGAGGATGAAGACTTGGAACCCCACACACTTCCATACATTCTCCTCTCCCTATACACAGGCCAGCCTGCAGACCTTGTAGAGCTGCGTAAACCTTCACCTCCTCCGTAGAAAGGCAGGCACCAAGGGCCAGCTCACTCAGACTAGCCTAAGCCAGTCTGGCAGGTGCCCTTCCCTGGCAAGATGCCCAGGCCAAAGTCAAAGCCGGCTAGGCTCTGGGTGGGGCTTGTTTTGCACAGCTATTATACCAAAGCTATCCTTATATGGCAGGGAGAGGAGGGACACACTGCCTTAAAAGGCATCCTAGAGAAACTTCTCAGGTGGCATTTACTCCCCAACACTAGGCTGGAATCTAGAGGGTTTAGAAGAGAAAGAGTTGGCCAAACAGGACCTGGAGTTTCTTCCCAGCCCAAGTGCTCTGGGCAGATGGCTGTTTTGCCTGTCTATCTTCCACAGGGACAGCAGGAGGAGGTCTGAGTCAGTCTTAAGTCCGCAGCACTCTTATATCTGACAATTGGCTCTTGTGAAGGGATATCTCTTCAAGCCAAAACAAGGGCAGAGACAGAAGAAACTTCCCACCTTCTAGGTAGCGATGGGGTCCTTTGTCAATTAGGAATGGATGGTGATTTCTGTCTGGGAGGTGGATGCTGGGGATATCCCTGTGACCCAACGGAATAAAATCCTGGTCTGGTCTGTTGCCCTCTAAGCCCCACAGAAGGTGTTCTGGGCCTTGCTATTCCAAGGTTGTTTGGCAAGAACATGGCTGCTGTAAACACGCCCAGGTTTTCTAGGTCCCATCTGATCTGCAGTAAAAGACCTCTGAAAAGTAAGGTGCCAAAACTCCAGCTGGGCCTCTAAGCTGTAGAGTTAAAATGACTTCTTCCTAAAACTTAGACCTCCAAATACGCCAGGAAAAAAAGACAAGGATTTAAATATAGATATATAATTTTAATATTTAATTTAAAATAAAACCAAGGCTAAATTGCATTGGGAGAGAATCTCTGATTTGCAGAATATAGGGCTTTTAAAAAATCATAAAATTACAAGTCATTGGTGAAAACAGCCTTCTTCCCCAGCTTCTCTTCAGAACCTGCTTTGGAAGACAGGTGAATCATCCCTTGCTTCCTCCCCACCAGTGCTCGGCTCCCCCTCAAACCCAGAAGAGGAACACATTTTCCATTGCCCCTTCCCATCTCCACTAAGATCAGCTCCCAACCCCCGGTGAAACCCTGAATAGGGCCCAGGTCCTGAGAAAATGAAGGTCTCTTGGTTCCCTGTTGAGGCTTCTGAGATCTGGCCAGAGAAGCCACAGGAAGGCCCCAGAGACCGAGACTTTTGCTTTGGGAACTTGTACAGACAGTTGTCAGGGTCCCCACGTGCAGCCACCTAATAACCATAACCAGCGCCACAGAGGAGGGAGAGGACAAGACAGAAACCCTGAGCAGGACCAGGCCTCCACCACTTTCACAGCCCTACTGAAGTCTCTCTCCCAGGGCTCCTCAGCAGAGCAGCCGGTGGCCTTCTTGACCAGTCCCCGGGGAAGCAGGGCAGGTTGAGGGCTCCACTGGGGAAAGGCTGGTTTGGGAAGAGGTATGAATGTGCAGGTATAAAAGGCAAGAAGAGCATCCTTATCTCCCCACCCTGGCTAAGGCACTGAGAGGAAGAGAAGCAGGGAGGGAATGGTAAAGATGGAAGGGGAGGGGATGAAGGGTCCCTTGGACCTACTAGCTTGGAGAACACAAAAATGTAGGGACTGGAGCGGTAGGGGGACTATCACATGGGCCCCACGACTGTGCAGAGAGGCATCTGAGAAATGGGTAAAGCCACGCCCGCGTGTCTGTTACCTATGCTTCCACACCCAGCTTCAGTGGGAGGAAAACAGGTTGGAGGAATTGAGGGAGCAGAATAGCAGGGGGTATTTCCCTGAGCCAGAAGGTTAAGGACCAAAGAAATAAAGCTTTATACACATGGCAATTTCTATTCTTTCTGAGTCTCTCAGCCCCCCCTCAGTCTCTGTGCTGACCACCCTTCCACTCATCCCATCTCATGTCATGGAGATGAAAGGGGGTCAGCACCCAAAGGTAGGACTCAGTTAGCCTAATATACCCATTCCTCCAGTGGAAAGGCCAAGTCCCTCCTGCAGCTTCTTACTTTCTTCTTTATCACCGTGACTTAGACCCCTCCCTGTCTTGGGTCTGAATAATTGGGTCACCCATAGGAAAGAGGAATCCGAGGCAGACAGGGCAGCAAGGCAGAGCCTGTTTCTGGACTGTTTTAGACCAGGAGCTAACAGGAGCTGGTCTGAAGGTTGCTCTCTGTAAGCAGCGATGCAATGGATGAGGGGTCATAGACGCTGTCAAATTCTTCATCGGAGCTCAGCCCCTCGTGTTTGAGAGCTGACTCAGCAGCGGAACGGGAAGCTTTGCGCCTGAGTCAGAGAGAATACTGGTGAGGGAGGGGTAACAGACTGAGACAGCCACAATTTCACACTGAAACACTACTTCTAGGGACTAACGCTACTGAGAAGATCCCCGACTAACCAGAGGTCCAGGGACACGGTGTACAGGATGGGGCGGACACACTAACAAAACCAGACTAACTCCAGCAGGAACAAACGACTGCACAGTCCTGTCTCAGACATCCTGCTCCTTAGCTAGTTCAAGAGAGACCATTTCCTTTCTGCTCTACTCCCTCCAAGGAGGAAGGGGCTGAACGGCAGCCCATACCAGGCATCCTTCTCCAGGGATTTGATCCGCGCCTGGAGCTGTTCGTTGACCTCATGTTGCTCCTCCAGCTCACGTTGTGCCTTCTTCCTCAAGCCATCCAGCCGCTCAATTTCCTCTTCCGCTTCATCTACCTGCCGCTTCAAAGCCTTCACCCTCAGGCTTAGCTGGGCAGAACACCAAGTCCCAACATGAGAAAAGCATCCACTACTATAGACTGGGACCTCCCCTGTAACAACGGGAACAAGGGATAATTGCCCCAGGGAAAGTGTTATGACCATGGGCCTAGCTGCATAAGGTTATCTTAAGGATTAAATGAACTAATACGTGCATTAATTAGAAAGAGAAGCTAAGCTGGGCATGGAGGCACAAGCCTATATATAATCCTAGCACACAAGAGGCTGATGCAGGAAGACTGAATTCAAGGCCAGCCTAGGCTACATAGAGAGGGAAACCCTGTCCCAAAACACTGAAAAGAAGTATAAGAAACTAGTATCCAATACATACTCTAGCTAGGACTGCTCTAATCCTTCAGTCTGTTCTCCCTGCCCTTGTATAAGTAAAGGCTGTTTGGAAAACCGATGGGAGATACAGACCTGCCTTGGCCTTCAAGCAAACACATTATACGCTTGCCCGAGACCGCATGGCCCCTGGAGTGCATGTTCTTACCTGGTCTTTCTGGTCATTGACATGCTGTCGCTCATCATCAATCTGGATGGACAGTTCTTTAACTTTGCGCTCCAATTTTCGGTTGGTGGACTGCAAAACTGTTTTCTCCCTAGGAAGTGAGGTACAGGGGTGCCTCTGGCTGTCGCCATTTCTCAGGACACCTGTGTTTAGTCCCTTACTACCTCCAAGGACTTCTCTCTGTCATAAGCCCCACCAATATCCTGGGCAGGATTAAGGAAGAGCCAAAGAAGCAAGGAGACTGAGATCATTTATGTCTCAGGATTTCTGTAGCTCTCTCTGCTCTGTCTCAGGAGCAGAGGGCTAGGCATGACAGCCTGTAATCCCACCACTCTGGAGGCTGAGGCAGGAGGATCACTGTGAGTCTGAGGCCAGCCTGGACTACATAGTGAGTTCAAGATCAACCTGAACTACACATCAAGACACTGTCTCAAAAAAACAAAAACAAACAAAGGAACAAAGGAGCTCTCTGAAGATTGGGGCAGATTGGCGGAGGAGGTGGATCACTGGGGATGTAGGCTAGAAGGGTCTGTCTCCCCCTTCCTCCCTAGAGTCTCTCTCTGCTTCCTGTCTGCCACGCCAAGAGCCCGGAGGTGGGAAATGGAGGGAGCCCTGGAGGAGAAAAACACAAACGGAGGGAGGGAGGGAAGGACAGGTTCATATCACCTTTCTTCAGCTTGTAGACGCTCCTGCAACAACTGATTCTGGGACTCGAGCTGAGAGAGGCTGGCACTGGGCTTCTGGAAGCCTTCTGAGCTGGCCAACCGCGTCTTCAGGTCTTTGTTCTGAGAGGGACAGGAAGCTCCACACTTAGCAGTCCGGCTGGTCATCCTACCAACCTCTGGAGCCCCTCCCTAAGATCCCCTTCCCTTCACCTGTCTCTCCAAGGAGATTTTGTCGCACTCCAAATCCTGCCGAGCAGACCTCTCCTGCATGAGCTCAGTCCTCAACTGGTCCACCTAGCAGGGACACACAAGAGGCACAGACTTGGGGAGGGCCATCAATGAGCCAGCAGCCTGACCCAACTGGGCAGAGCCCAACTGGCCTCTGAACCCCAAAACCTCCAGAGTTCCAGGCAGTAAAGAAATCAGAGGCTGTTCAAAAGGAAGGAGCCACAGAACTGACACAGGGGTTCTTCCTCCCACCAGGAACCAGCATCCCTCCTATCCCAGAGCGGTCTCCACTCAGGGCAGAGCAGCCTAGGCTGTGATTTCTTCTTTCATTCAAATTCTTGGCTCCTTTCCATCTGAGGAAACCTGCCAATCCTTCCCAAGGCAGACAAAACCTTCGGTCAGAATGCCCCAGGTTA